AGGGTTTAGAGTTTAGCTTCAGACTGCTGCTAAAAGAGCTTTTATACTTCCTCGTGCTGAGCCTCCCTTAGGTGTCTCTAGCCTAGCAATCTGGGGTCCCTCGCCGGTCGAAGTGAGGGTTTAGGGTTTAGGGTTTAGGGTCTAGGGTTTAACCGTAAAATTTCAGTTTTTGGTGTTTATAGATTAGGCTTTAGGGTTTATTGCATAGGGTTTTGTGGAGTTAAGGGTTTAGGGTTTAGGGTTTAGGGTTTAGGGTTTGAGTGGACCACTGGGGTCACTTCGAGACTGCGGTGGGCCCCACAGGTGTAACTGGAGCAGCATAAGTGCAAAGCACAGCAGCAAAAGAATAAAAGAATAAATATGAAGCAGATTAAAGAGTAGAAGCAGCAAAAAAAAAGCTGTTTAGTTAGAGAGGGAGGAGGAGGGGCCGCAGCCTGTCGAGCTAGCGGCTCGCTGTTGGTGCTGCTTGCTGTTGCTTGCTGCTGCTTGCTGCTGCTTGCTGCTGCTGCTGCAGCACGGGATCCTTCTTCCATTCCTTTTATGTTTTCCTTGTATTTTCTCATTTCAGGTGTACATACAGCACAGACCGCAGCAGCAGCAGTGTACAGGTCTTCTCTTCCTTGCAGCAGCAGCAACATAGTTTATATATATATATATATCTACGATGACTAAGGTTTTTGTTTCTCAGCCCAAGTTGCTGCTGCCTCTGGGGGGTGTATTATCTCTTTTGTTAGGGGGCTTTGCTTTCAAAGGAGCAGCAGCAGCAGCAGCAGCAGCAGCACCTCTCCCTTCAGCAGCAGCAGAAGGAAGCGGCAGCGCACCCTTACAACCCCCACCACGGGCCCCTCTTCTCCCTTTAGAAGAAGCAGCAGTAGCAGCAGCAGCAGCAGAATCACCTGCAGCAGCAGCAGGACCTGCAGCAGTAGCACTGCTTGAAAGGTTAGGTCTCCCTGCCTTTGTTGAGCAGTCTTTGCTGCCTTTGCTGCAGCGGGCCCCCTCAGCTACAACAACTGCTTCTCCTTTACTTGATGGAAGCAACGGGCAGCAGCAGTTTCTGCTAGGTTTGCTGCCGCAGCGTCCCTTGCAGCAAATAGAGACAGCAGCAGCAGCAGAGGCAGCAAAACCACTAGAAGAAGAAACGATTGTTGTCGTAGAAGAATCGCCAGGAACACAAGCAGCAGCAGGAACTATCGAAGGAGACAACATACAGCAGCAGCAGCAGCAGCAGCAGCAGCAGCAGCAGCAATCTTCAGGAGAAAGCCAACAACCCCCACGTCATATCCCCAGGAGACAGCCCCTATGGAAACCGCAGCAGCAGCAGCAGCCTCAAGATAGCAGCAGCAGCAGCAGCAGCAGCAGCAACAGAATCCAGCTCCCCATTGGGCCTCTCCTGGTGCCTCGGCCCCAGCAAGAAGAGATAATAGTAGAAGAAGTTATTGATGACAACAGCAACAGCAGCAGCAGCGGCAGCAGCAGCAGCAGCAGCGGCAGCAGCAGCAGCATCAGCGGTGATGTAGACATCGAGGCACCCCTGGCCCCACAGCAGCCACCGCCCAGCCTGCAGCAACCCATTGGTCAACCCGAAGACACGGTAAGCACATCCATCACTTCCTGCTGCTGCTGCTGCTGTTGCTGCTGCTGCTGCTGTTGCTGTTGCGTTGCTGTTGCTGTTGCGTTGCTGTAGCTGTTTCTCTTGCTGTTGCTGTTGCTGCTGTTGCTGTTGCTGCTGCTCTTGCTGTTGCTGCTGCTCTTGCTGTTGCTGCTGCTGTTGCTGCTGCTGTTGCTGTTGCTGTTGCTGTCGCTGTTGCTGTTGCTGTTGCTGTTGCTGCTGGTGTCGCTGTTGCTGCTGCTAGAGTAGCAGCACGAGTTGTTGCAGCTGCTTCATCCGCTTTACTTCGCAGGCTGACGATGAGGACCTCAAGGAGATTCTTCTCCAAGACGGTAAGAAGCCCTTGAGGGTTTAGGGTTTGCAGCTGAGGGTTTAGGGTTTGCAGATGAGGGTTTAGGGTTTGCAGCTGAGGGTTTAGGGTATGCAGCTGAGGGTTTAGGGTTTGCAGCTGAGGGTTTACGGTTTGCAGCTGAGGGTTTAGGGTTTGCAGCTGAGGGTTTAGGGTTTTCTTGTTATCGCGGGTTGGTATAGGGTTTGCTGGTCTAGGGTTTAGCGTCTGCAGCTGAGGGTTTAGGGCTTTCGAGTTTACGGTTTAGTAGGGTTTAGTAGGGTTTAGGGTTTAGCAGGGCTTATTAAGGTCTAGGGTTTAGGGTTTAGGGCTTAGGGTTTAGGTGTGTGTTTGTCTCCTACGTTTCTCAGGGCGCACTTTGTCTGTTTTGTCGTTTAAAGTGAAGGGCAAAGGACCCGGCGTCAGAGTCTCCTTTGTCTCTGTACGCAGCCCTCCTTCTGTCTCCTCTCTTGTGTCTCCTCTTGTCTTTATTTGTCTCCTGCTGTCTCCTGCTGTCTCTCGCTGTCTCCTGTTGTCTCCTGCTGTCTCTCGCTGTCTCCTGTTGCCTTTCTTTGTCTCCTTTGTCTTCTCCTTTGTCTCCTCTGTCTCCTGCTGTCTCTCTCTGTCTTCTTATCTGTCTCCTGCTGTCTCCTCCCCTGTCTCCTCTGCCTACTTCTCAGTCTCTCTCTCTCTCTCTCTCTCTCTCTCTCTCTCTCTCTCTCTGCTTGTGTCTCTCTCTCTCTGCTGCTTGTGTCTCTCTCTCTGCTGCTTGTGTGTCTGTCTGTCTGCTGCTTGTATCTCTGTCTCTGTCTCTGTCTCTGTTGTCTCCTCTGTCTGTCAATATTGTCTCTGTCTCCTTTTGTTGTTTATCTCTCTGCTTCTCCTTCCCTCTGTCTCTCTTCTTATGTCTTTCTCTCTCTGTCTCTCTTCTTATCTGTCTCTGTCTCTGTATCTGTCTGTCTCTGTCTCTGCATCTGTCTCTGTCTTTGTCTGTTTCTATCTCTGCTGTCTCCTTTTCACAGTCTCCTTTTGTCTGCTGCTGTCTCCTTTTGCTGTCTCCCTTTGTTTGCTGCTGTCTCCGTTTACTGTCTCCTTTTGTCTGCTCCTGTTTGTTCTCTGCCTACAGGCCTGGTCACTCGCAGTCGAAGTACGAGGCGAAGTCGTAAGCTGCTGCTGCTGTTGCTGCTGCTGCTGTTGCTGCTGCTGCTGCTGCTGTTGCTGCTGCTGTTGCTGCTGCTGCTGTTGCTGCGGCTGTTGCCGTGCAGGCAAATACACACCCAGACTAAGCATAGTAAATAAAATAAATAAACAAATACATAAACAATTAAATATATATATATATATATATGTATT